ATATTTTAATTATATTTTAACATTTTTTTGTTACTAGAAATTTGAAACATATATGTATTATTATATAAATACATAGCATATATATATATATATATTATTATAAAAATCTAAAAAAAAATGAAGATTACAATCTTCTCAATAAATTTTAAGAAGTTTTAAGAAGAATTGTAAGTTCAAGTGCGCTCCATCTAAAATTTTGTACTCTTTAGCCATTTTTCATTGTCATAATAAGAGATATAGATATTTATTCTGTTTTTAAAAAATAAATTGCATAGGAAACGCCGGATAATATAATATAATATAATAACGTACGTAGCTGAAATTATGAAATGATTCATATTCTCGAGATTTTAAATTAATATTATGTATCATTTTAATTGTTTTTTTAATTTTCTCTTTATTATATCATTTATTATTATACTGTTAAATATTACAATATACGTATCTGAATATATCCGTAGTTTCTATATACTTCTCATTATTTATAAATTGGAACTTGGACAAATATTTGTAAGAATACAAAATAAGTACATTTTACATAATTCTATATAAACAAGATGTTATCATTACAATATCTTTTTCAGCGTAACTTCCGCAACATGAAATTACTCCAGTTCTGGAATACATATTACGATATCTAAACTAAAACCTAAAAATTTATGCACCTGGTATAGACTTATAGACTCTAAATATTTACAGAATTAAACAGAAAAAACAAAGGAAAAATATATAATGTAACATAAAGTTTGTGTGATATGTATACATTCTACGCAAATATTATACATATATAAAGTTTTAACAAATTAGAAAATATTGTGATTTCACGATAATAAACTATTTTAAATTTTGCGAGAACATTTTAATCTTAAGCTAAATCCCAATTTTGCAAATTTTTATAAATGTAATTTCTTTTACAAATCATCTTTTTATTTGAAGAATAAATTAAAACAATTTGTATTTTCAAGTTTGTTGGTAAATTCAAAGCTTATTTACAATCTCATTAATTCACATTGGTTTGTTATCATTGTCTCGTGACCGCTAACCTTATATTTTGTTTATCCTCTTCTCGTTTCTGTTACATTTAAAAGAATAGTTCTTGACGAAACGCTCCGTGTGAATATTCATATTTACGATCTACAAAAGGAGAAACGTGCTTTTGATGGTAATACTAATTAATAACTCGAACAATACGCCATAAATTATCTGACGTAAGTCTGATCTATATTGTACATTACATATATATATATTTAAAAGTATATTTTGCGTTTGTTCGCATTTGCATGCGTATTCGCGATATATGATTATAAAATATTTTATTAATTATTGATCATTAAACAATTTTATTTTAACATATATGCTATATAATGCAAGCAATCCATTAATAAAATAATATATTTTTTTTTAAAAACAAAAATAATCTCAAAATAAAAAAAATAGTAATTTAGCTAATCTAATAAACAAATTTTTTTTTCTTACCAGATTTATCCGTTCAAATCGTACAATCTTGTTCTTAATATATGTTATAATATAATATTACTATAATATTTTCTCATCTACTGACGTAAGTCTGATCTATATTGTACATTACATATATATATATTTAAAAGTATATTTTGCGTTTGTTCGCATTTGCATGCGTATTCGCGATATATGATTATAAAATATCTTATTAATTATTGATCATTAAACAATTTTATCTTAACATATATGCCATATAATGCAAGCAATCCATTAATATAATAATATATTTCTTTTTAAAAACAAAAATAATCTCAAAATAAAAAAAATAGTAATTTAGCTAATCTAATAAACAAATTTTTTTTTCTTACCAGATTTATCTGTTCAAATTGTACAATCTTGTTCTTAATATATGTTATAATATAATATTACTATAATATTTTCTCATCTATAAAAATTAGAGATATATATACAATATGTATATGATATGTTTACTCTGTTAGATGTTTTACATTATATTTAATCTGCTAATCTAATAATTTTTACGTTTTATAGTTCCCTAGTAACATCGTGTTTATATTTCAAATCGAGCATTATGGCCTCCTATCCGCACCCTGTCCCTGTAAGAAATAATCCTCCCGAAAATGAAAATGCTATACCAAACGATAATCTCTTTAGAGGAATTAATCTTTTCGAAGAAGAAGATCGTAATTGGATGCCAAACGATTTTGAGTTTGTTAGTTACTTTAATCCTCTAAGAGGTATTATGGAACCAGGATTATTCATTGGATATAGATTATTTCCATCTACCCTCGAACACATAAAAAATGGTACGTATATGAAATTTATTACCTAATTTAAATAAGTGATACTTTACAAATGTCATTACTTTATGATATAGTTTTGTACGTCGGATTGCACCAATCTTTCAACGAATTCGAAATTAATTTGGTTACCTGCCCCTGTCTAACCAGACCGCCATACAATCTTGCCGCAGTTGGTAAGAAATATAATAACAAACATTCGTGATCTTCCGCGAAATGCAATACATTTACACAATATGACAATATGTTATATTTTAACAGGACTATCTGGTAACACGTCGTATTTGCGCGTTGGTGGGTCATATAATTTAATGCCAAACCCGCAAACAGAAATAACATACGACATTCGAGATGAATTATTAAGATATTGTCATGATTCCTTTATTATTGGAGGAGGTTATGCCGCGAAACCATCTATGCTTTACAATGGTCTTGTACGTATTATCGATATTTTCATACGCAAAAAAACATATTGGCTTTTCGAGAAAAATAGAATGTGCAAGTAGATTATTGTTTTATTCTTATTATTTTTTCGCTGTATTAATTTTTATTTTTATTATATAAATTAAGTCGAAGTTTAATTTTAATTATATTAATTTGTCATTAATTTTAAAAGCGCTATTATTTATCTTATCGCCATCTCTCTCCTTCTCTCTTCCTCCCTCTCATCCTCTCTCTTTCTTTCTCTCTCTCTCTCTCTCTATCTGTCTATAGAAACGCGATTTCTATTATAGCTTACTATGAATGCGACAGTTTTGCCACCTGAAAATCTCTCTCTATCTATCTATCTATAGAAACGCGATTTCTATTACAGCTTACTATGAATGCGACAGTCTTGCCACCTGAAAATGTTAATAATAACAGTCGTATCGTTTATGAAGATGATATTGGGCATTTACAACTGAAAGAGATCACAAATTCCAATCAAATGGTATGCTCTATGTTGGGCAACTTCTTCTTCAGTGAAGGCAGACAAGGAATGGTGATCAAAATACGTGCTAAAGGGCGCAGATTCCGTGGCAGCATCATGATAAGAATGCAGGATGTTCTGAGAAGTTATTGTCAATGTTCAGTTGGTAAAAGATAACCTTTATAAGAGTATATCTTGATTAACGAAATAAATAGAAAGTAAAAATAATAAAATTGATCTACAAAAATAATGTGTCTATGAATAAATATGTCTTCCATATCCAATATTTTAGTTTTAGGTGGCGTGTTCGTAATAAACGGGGGACAAGCCGAATGCTATATTACACCAGAAAATTATCCAATGAACCTTAGATACCCGGACGGGTATCTTAGATGGTTAAAGAGATATCGATATGACTGTAAGAATCTAATAGCTGTTGGCGCATTAGGCAATACTAGATTCGATGTTCTTGTACGGCTACCTAACGGATATGTAAGTTATTTCTGAAGTGTACAAACAGATATCAGTTTCTATATAATTGCGCTTAAATTCCTTATTTTTAAATGGATCATCAAAAAATTACAAATTCTGGTTTCTTTTTTATCTTTTTCTAATTAATTTGTAATTATATTTATTTTGTTATATATCTATTATGTATTAAACAAATTGGTATATTATATTTCAAAATTTTGTGCTTATTAGCTGAACTATTGTAACATTATTGGTAACATCAATACTTCATTTTCAACAACCGATACATTGCGAAACATGAATTGTCATAATCTTTATATCTTGCAGCTGATAGACAGCCGTTATAAATTTCACATTTTCTCTAAAGATGAACCGGCCGGCATATTCGTGAACGATATCACATCGGAAGACGGCATATTCGTGAACGATATCACACCGGAAGAGACAGAATACATTGGTTACTTTAATATAGCGCGAACAGCATATCTCTAAAAGTGACAAATTTTCATTCTTGATATAAAATCAAGTCCTTTCAATTAATGCATTATATGTCATGAGAAATTCACAGCAGAAAAATGTTGTCGCAAAGCATTCATGGCGAAGATATCATTTTGAGATATCTTACATTAATCTTTAGATTTGCACAAGGATTATTTTAGAACGCAATAATTCGCTATATAATACTTATTAATATTACGATACTTACTAAATTAGTAATTCAAATGGTTCACGTTTCTGTTTTGATTGACAATAGAGAAACATATTAGAGAAACGTTAAAAGATTCGATGATATCTTTCTCCTTCTCAGTAAACTTTTGCTCTTATTTTTTCTGCAGATGCATCAATTTGTGTTAGACTTCTTTTATAATTGGTATAAATATATGAATATAATATGTACATAGAATATTTCTAGATAATTATATATGATTCTCCGAATTAGAAGTCATAAATAAATATAGAACTGTATCTATACCGCTGATCGTTAAATTTCAAGTTCGTGAAACTATTGTATAATTCGTCGATAGCATTTTAATTACATATTTCTAATTTTAAAAAATTCATATTGTGTATGTGGATTTACGTGATCTACTTTTTCTTCAAATTATTTTTATTACATTTTTGTCACATTAAAGATAATTTACACACATTTTTGCCATTTTATAAATTTAACGTAATAATGTATTTAGAATCTAACAACAATTATATTAACTCGTTATTACTTATGATCGATACAGTCTTGTACTTGTTCTTGCTGTCATTTTTTAAATTTCATTTCGGAGGAAACCATTATAATGTGCCGGAATATTTTATGTGATTAGTAATATTCACATACATAAAAGTAGAATAATGTTTTTGATAATCGGAATATGATTACGATAATGATATACATTAACTTTCAATATTTTTGATTAAAATTATATTTTATACAATTTACAAGAAGTTTGTGAAGTACACACTTATATACATACATACGTATATAGCTATATATATGCACGTGTATGTGTATGTATTGTTTTATATATTTATACATAAATATATACATATTTTTACAT